CACCTCACTCCTCACCCTTTTTCTTCCTAGAGTAGGGAGATGTTTAATTTTATATTCTAAATATGCTTTTCCAGGTTTCTGATCTTGTTACTTTGCCTTTTGTGAAATATTTGAAGTCTTGTAGTTTTCCTTGGTTACAATGGATAAGTTATATGCCTCCTTTCACTCTATCTTATACAATCATCTCCCTGTATAACAGCTAGATCCTCAAAGCCATAGACTTTACCTTCACAACTGTACCTTCCCAAGTTGTTGAAGAAAGACGTTTGCTCATTGTAAGCATTAGTAAAAGCTTATTACATTGAGCTGAATGGACTTTCTAAATCCCAGGGAAGATCAATGACAAGGCAGTGGGGCTCAGGGAACAATTAATCAATCACGAGTTGATGAACACTTTTCTCTCCCTCCCCTTCCCTACAAACTAGCTGTGGTCTTCCCAAACCTGGCTTATCTTACCAGGAAACTTCCTGGAAAAGAATGTGGTCTCCCTTGTCTCCTTAAAGGAATTTTAAAAAATCATTTCTCTCTGGTCCCCCTCTATCTCTCTCCCCTCTCCAGTTCCTTTCAGCTCTCTCTCTCCCTCTCTCTCTCTCCCCTTTCCCCTTCACTACTCTCCACCAGTTCTCTTTTCATCTCCTCTCCAATCGAATTCAGTCACTCCCGGACCTCACTCACGGCCACTGGACAACACTGGTTTCTGCGACCGTTGAACTGCCCGGCACAGTTACTGTGCCTGTCCATGCCCACCTGGGAGTCAGACCTGCCTCCCCGTTGCACTCAAATCATTTTCCCTACCTCAGCTCCCTTCCCTTCCTCGCTCCTGCCATCTTTTGCCTTCCCCTAACATCTCATCTTCTCTCTCTCTCTCTCTCCTCTCTCTCTCTCTCCTCTCTCTCTGTCTCTCTCTCCTCTCTCTTTCTCTCTCTCCTCTCTCTCTCCTCTCTCTCTCTCTCCTCTCTCTCTTTCTCTCTTTCTCCTCTCTCTCTCCTCTCTCCTCTCTCTTTCTCTCTCTCTCCTCTCTCTTTCTCTCTCTCTGTCTCCTCTCTCTCTCTCTCTCTCTCTCTCTCTCTCTCTCTCTCTCTGATATATAGAGGGGAACATACCACAACACTCATGTAGAGGTTGGAGAACAACTTCCAAGGCTCCTCCCTTCCACCTTCAGGTGCCAGGAACTGAACTCAAGTTGCCAGATTTGCTCAGCAGTCCCCTTTACCCATCGACCAAGCTGCCAGCCCCTCCTGGAAAAATTTGGATGGGCCACATTTCAAGAGGAAGGGACTAAGCCCCAGATATCAGGAGGGATGGATCAAACACACAGTCTGCTATGAGCACTCCCGCAGAACATGGTGGGCAAGGACAATGATCTCAGCCTGGAGAGCAGGAGAAAAAAGATCAACTCCTGTGAGGCAAAGGTTCTGACAGGTTCTCCACAGTGGAGCTGGCCATAGGTTTGAAAATTATGGAGATGGGTATCAAGGTGGAGACACAGAGTTTCCCAAAATCTGTGGAAATCATTCCCTTAGATGCCACGTTGAGGTCACTGTGGAAGTTGTCCCACATTGCAAGGTTTCAAGCTGGAACATTTTTGAGAGTTCTAGAATTGTTGGGCTTCAATTCTGAACCTGATTTTAGGTGCAGGCAGGGAAGGCAGGGAAGGGTAAGGGGAAATCCCCTCTCCAGACTGCAACTGGGTACACAGGTGGTTAAGCATAGTGAATGCTCTCCTTGCATCCCTCAAGAGGGTCGCTGCCCCACCCCCAAGTCCACAGGCTTCAAACCCTGAGCTTAGTAGGCTTCCAGAACCTTTTCTTCCTCATGTTGTCACAGGTAGGCAATAGCAGATGCTTGAAAGTAAAAATGTACATATAGATTTTAGACATCAGTTTCAGTAAAGTACAGTCAAGAGCAGAATCAAATTCAGAAGACCTAGAAAGCTTAATGTTTTGCTTCAAGCATATCAAAACCTCAAGATGAAGTAAAGCAGCCTGTGAGCACACATCAGTTTTCATGGAAACATAGTTCATGGCCTTGACTAGTTATTGGATCAGATATGTTCAAATCCAAAAGGCCTCATGTTCCCCAAGTATCCCAGAAAACCATCCTGGGTTTTTGTAGCACTGAACCAGAGAAGTGAGAGCAAAAACCTACTCTTCTATCTGTGAAGATCCTCTTAGGACCCTAAAGGGAATGGAAGGACTGCTCCATCTTAAACTTCACTTCACTATATTTTGGGTCATGAACTGTTTCTACCAGGGCACAAAGGCTGCTGTCTGGAAGTTCTCATTTGGGTTGGGTTGCACCAATACACCAGAGTCCCTCCCAGATCCCTCCCTAGGAAACTTTCCAGACAATTCTTGCAAGTGTGCACATTCATCCAAGGCCTTCAGGCTCCAAGGATTCCAGGACAAAGGTAGGAACCAAGGTAGAGAGCCCCGCCAGCCTGGAGAGACCCATCCATGGTCTCACAGTGCAGCCTGCTGGGTCCCAGTGATGGTACAGTCAGGAGGCAAGGGTGAAGGATGTAGGCACAAGAGGATGTAGGACTATGTTGCCTCCTATCTATGACTCTCAACTTCCAGTAAGAGAGTTTTGATCCCCAAATTCAAAATTAGGCTTTAAGGTGAAAGATGACTAGTCCTGAATCTTTCAACAGGCAAACACAGCTGCTCATGCAAGCATTCTAGGATGTGCCAAGCCAGTTTATAAGATTTTGTCTATTTTTGAACCCAGATCACATGACTGCAGCTTCTTCATGAGGCACAAAGAAGGTCAGCACACCTCAGTAAGTAGCAGCAGAGCATAAATGTCCCTGTGTGGACCTCAAAATGCCTCAGAGCAGGGAGGTGGTGTGGGCCAAGTGGGTCACTGTAGGCAGTGGCCAGAGAGATGGAGAAGCAGGAGAGAGGAAGGGCACGGAAGAGGCACTTACAAGACTTGAAGTTAGATTAGCAAGTGGGAAGGACGAGAAAAGGCAGCATAGATCACCGAGGTCATAGGCTGCATGGCTATGAACAGGAGGCAGGAGAGGTCTTTGATAATCAGAGAAATCAAGACAGGGTCATTTGAGAAGAGTGTGGGGTAAAGCGTTCATTGTGGAGCTTGCTGAGAAAAGGCTGTTTTTCTACACATCCTGCCCTCTTTGGGTATCTGCTTGTGACCCTAGAAAGCCTACCCCTTCCCTCTCCCTCACACCTCCCTTCCTGCTCCCCCTTCTCTTCCCAGCAGTTCCTTGACGTGAGAGGTCCTTAGCCCAGCAGGTAGGTGACAGCAGCCTGCCCATTCCCCATACACACTACACAGTGTCTCCCTGACCTCCCCCGTCTCTCCAGGTTCAGCTTTCCTTCCTTCCCCACCACGGCTGCCTGCCCTGTGGACAGCCTCCAGTTCTGCTCTGGCTCCCTGTGCCCAGTCTAGACAGAGCTGAGTTCCTCAATCTTGCCAGCTCCAGAGCAGGGCTCTGCTCCAAAGGTAATTCTTCCCCAGCAGGCAGTGCTGCTTTGGTGGCCAAACCCAAATACATACTAGGACCATTTCCCACTTCACTGGCAGACAAGTCACCTGAAGTCTCTAGGGAAAAGACAAGCCTCTCTGGAAGGGAGAATTTTTGCTTTTTGTTCATATTTTTAAAAACAAATGGGTAGTTGGACAAAACAGGCGACAGAGGTGGGTGGCCATTTGAGATGCCAAGAGAAAGAGATCAAAGCCCACTCTGAATGGACGAAACAGGCTTGGTATGGCCCCGGGAACAGTCTAGGTGGCCCACATAGCAAAAAGGCAGCCAGGGAACAGAGCTGCTGGGTGAGGAGCCACGGTCACAGTCACCCCCACCCCTGCTCCCAGACCCAAGCACTTCAGTTAAAGGGTTTCTGCTGGAACGAACACCTGTTTCCCCCAGTTCCTTGGGAGAGCTCACACATCTCAGCATAGGAAGTGAACCTGCCCAAACTCTGGCCCCCATGTTGCTTTCTTTTTCTAAGAAGAGGCTGGAATTCCTCCCTCTGGACTACATCCTTCTGGCGGCTGCCCCTCTCACATTCCCAGATCAGGGCAATGAGCCAGGAAAGCTCTCCATATGTGCAGCCTTGCTAGTTGGCTCATTAGAACTACCACAAGGAACTATGGGGCAGGGAGGCCATTGTGTCAGTCTGCAAGCTCAGTCCCTCATCTTTTCCAAATGAGCATGTTCTATCACGTTAGCCTATAGATCCTTCAGTTCAGCCACTCCAGACCTTGAAGGCCAAGGGAAGAATGTCTGAAAGAAATAGTAACAATTTTGTCTAGATCTGGATTAGAACCCAGGTCTCCAGACCCTCAGCCCAGAACCTCTCCACTCCCCAGTGTTGCCACCCAACATTCCAGACAGGAAGAAGACTAAGAACAAAGACTATATTGAGTTTCTAGAGCCTTTGCTCGGCTTTAGGCTAGTCAGACCTTCTGCATTCTAGAAAGTTCTTTGAAAGGAACTTCCATCAACATTCTATAGAAGCTTGGGAAATTTCCAAGGTGTCAGTTGAACAGAGGACCCAGGCTTTCTATAAATTAGAAAAGTTGTGAACAGCCAAAATTTCCTGTCAAGCCCATCAATTTATTCCCTGTGTGATTTGTGCCATATCTTTCTACCCCTTGACAGCACTGTGGCCACCTGGGTGTTAACCAAGTCTATGCTCCAACTACATCCTTCCCTCAGGCAAGTTTAAGGAAAAGAATAAGATGGTTCTTTCACTTCCAAAGAGCAGGCAGGGAAATTGAAGGCATGACCTTCACCTCATGAAGTACTGGGATGTTAAATCTATACCATCTTCTGCCCCACACAGTCTCCATTTCCCACCACATCCTGGCATTGTTTTCCCCACCATAAGACAGAGCAAAGAACCATACACCTTAGGGAAAGCAGGCCCCTCTGCTTAAACAACAGACTGCCATGGGCCAAAAGGGACAATGATATATCTTTCAGGATTTGCATCATGAGCATCTCTCCCAAAGTCCCCTCCCACACTCACCTGATGAGGTCAATGGGTTGAAACTTATAAAACACTCCATAGCGTGCCCACTCCTGATACAGCAGCTAAGCAAGAAAAATAGGGAGACAGATTAGGGATGAATTAAGCAACTGTTCATCCCAATGAGTCAGAATGTTATCCCCAATGCCAAGTTGCTAGGAAAAGTCTCATGAACATCCACAGAGAGAAGTCCAAAGGCAGATGGCTACAGAAACTGCCTTCTGTTTCCCCCAAATAATAAGAGACCACCCATAGCACACTTGGAGACACTCCTGTGCCTGACAAACATCACTCCTCCTTCTTTAGCACCTTCTGTTGCCTGACCCAGTCCGAGCCCCACCTTTCCTTATTCACTCACTTAAGCATTCATTGACTACCTGCTATATGCCAGGCACTGTCCAGGCCTCATTTGCTGCAGTGAACCCATTAAAGTCTCTGTTGCTATGGAGTTTACACCTGATATGAGCAGATTATAAATATATGAGATTCATAAATGCCATAAAAGTAAATCAAGATATGAGGGATGTGATAGAGATTGAAGTAGGGTGCTATTTTAGACGGGATGGACAGAGAGTGCCTCTCTGAGGAGGTAATATTTGAGATGAAACCAGGAAGAAATGAGGGGCCACTCACCCTCCCTGTGAAAGGCCCTGAGGTGAGCATCTATGGTATAACCTGGGATAACAGGGAAAATATGTGTCTGGGATAGAACAAACATGGGGAGAATAATTAGTGATTATTTCAGAAAGTACGAGAGGGACATATCATTCATGGCTTGGAAGGCTATGCTAAGAGCTCTAGATTTGGTTGGGAGACTTGCAGCTGAGGAGAGAGGTAGTCTGAATAAACCTATAGAAGGTTTATTCTGGCTGCTACTTGGAAAACAGAGTGAACCAAGGAACAGGGAGGCTGTCAGAGCTAGATTCATGGGAGTAATGAGAAACATATTTGATTCTGCCCATTGATTTGAAACTTATCTCTATGTGAAAAAAAAATGAGAGCTTGAATTGAGCATTTGAGTAACAGTGACAGTCACTGAGATGGGAAGACTATTAAGAGAGGCAGAGCCAAAAGTTTTCTTCAGGATGCTGTAATCTGAGATTCTGTTTAAGTACCTGCATGGATGTGGATTAGGCAGCTGGGTGAAAAATCTGGGTACAAAAGGAATTCTAGGCTAGAAAAGCAAATTTGGTATTTATTAGAGAAGAAATGAATTGTGACATTATCACATTGCCAAAGAATAAAAGATAAGTACAGAATAGCCCAAGATCTGGGAACCTGACACTGTCAGGGTTAGAGAACCAGGAGACAGTGATGAATCGGTAAAGAGTCTAAATGATCAGAAGGAGTGGTGTGGAGTGAGAATAGATGTGTGGTGTTCTGGAAGCCAACAGAAGAAAGGGTTTCCAGAAGAAGATGGCACGTTGAGTGAAACGCTGCTAATGAGTCAAATGGGAATGGGAAAGTAGTCGTTGGATTCTGTAACTTGGAGGTCACCGATGACCTTGACAAGAGAGGTTCCAGGACATAGGGAGTTGCCAAACCTGAGTGGAACACCTACAAAAGACTCAGGGGAAATGCTTATGAGAATCGTCTAGCCACTCTGGTAGAAGTATCAAGTGGACAAAACCTGTCTCTCAGTCACAGAAGCAAGCCACACCACCCAATAACTGAGTTTCAAATCCTTGGCTAACAAGCTTCACCAATCATCCAGGAGTACATCAAGTCATTAGTAATGGGCCAGCATTAGATCTCACGTAGACAGCCAGGCTGGGTGGATACTGTTGCTTAATCAAATAAGTCTAGAATTGACAATACCATTTCTGTTTTGGTATGTTCTTTGTGTTCTTTAAACATAACATTTTTTTATATACCACACAGAATTCCCAAGGAAATCTACCAAAGAGGACCTGTAATCAAACCTGTTATGTACTCCTGCCCGCTGTACATCAGCCTGACAGGAAGCCACCCTTTTCATCTAAGGGCCCTTAAAGACATGATACTAAAACTGAAATGAGAACTGACATTCCTATTTAAAGGCTATAGGCTTTTATTATCATAATATCTCCCAGAAATTGTAAAAATACAACCAGAAACCAAGCAGACAGATGAAGCAAGATGTACACGCAATTACCATTTGCAAAAGAAACTCAGACACAAAAGGACCTTAAATGATGTGTGAAAACAGAGGAATGCACTAAAGAGATGGTTCAATAGTTAAAAGCACTGGGTGCTCTTACAGAGGACCCAGGTTCAGTTCCTAGAACCCACATGGTGGCTAACTACTAACGGTATAGAACTCCAGTTCTAGGGGATCTGATGCCCTCTGCTGGCCTCCACTGGACATTGCATAACATGGGTGCATTTACATACATGCAGGCAAAATACTCAGACATAAAATAAAAATAAGTAAAACACACTAGACTGAGAACTATTTGAGACCGATTGCTGCTGGGTGAGGGAGATTATGACTTACATATGATCACTAGATTGGATGGCTGGACTCCAGTGGACCATTTGCACTCAAGGACACTTGGGTACAAATGCCTGAATGAATAGGACTTTGCATGTATGGCAGAATGCATAAAGGTCAATGGAGGGATAAGGGAGGCATGAATGGGGGAGAGGTGTCTAAATTTGATTAAGAACTGCTGTATGAAGTTGAAAAAGCTCAATAAAAAAAGGAACTAAAATAAACAATTTTTTAAAAAAATATCCTAAAAGAGAAAGAAAGCAGATGAAGAAATCTGAACTCACAAGCACTGACACTGTTTATTACAGGGTAATAATCTCTGAACTTACTCTCTTACTATTATTAACACATTTCCTCCTCCTCTTCCTGACCTTGGTGCTTCTACTACCCTGGGCTCTAATTCTCTCCCAAGTGCAAAGCCAAAGCTCCCGAAGCCTGGTTGTCACAGAAACACCACTTATGTCCCCAAAGGGAGGCCAGTTTGCATCAGAAGGCATGATGAGCAGGGCTCCTTTGAGGACATGTGGCACATCACTGCCCACCTCATAGGCTCTAGACTGCCATAGCAAATTCCTACCCAAGTTATATGTCCAGCCTAAACTTCTTTTTTTTAACACTTGCCATTTACCCCAAAGGGAAAATCTAAAAAAAATGCTCCAAGAAGTCAGTATAGCTCAGTCAGTTCCAGACCACACAGACAGTCAACTTCAGAAGCCTTAGCCCTGCTAGGATCCTGGTCCTGTGATAAGACACCTTCAAAGTCCCTGATCCAGGGTTGTATGCTCCAAGCACAGATGATTATATTCATAGCTAGAGTCAAAAGAGGTGTCTGAGCTTGATTCAGAAGGGAACAATAGATACATAATCAGCATCAATAAATGGAGCCCAAATCTGCAGGTGGAAGAGCAGACGGGTCAGTCAGACAGGCCAGCCCCACACAAACTTCACTCACCAGCATGGGGGTCCGGGAAGAATGAAAAAACTGCTACAGATTCCCTTCACCCACAAGAATGTTCAATCACACAGAGAGAAGTGGGTCATGATAAACTTATAGGCTCCATGGTACCCAAAGAGGCTAACAACCAGGGAGGCATGCCCTGAAGTCTCAGTCCCATGAGGGTTAGCACAGTGTCAGTAAAGTGCAGGCAGACAACCATGGTAACTTGTAATAGTCTTCTTAAACATGCAGAGTCTAGAACTTTCTAATACAGCACAGAAAATTCATTTTCTAAATGTTACACCATATTTTCTCTCCATCAGGTCAAACCTACAAATAAATCAGAGAGAGGCTGCAGTTCCTTCCTAATGGACAGGGCCTTCTGCAATGTGCTCAGATGTGATTCAGGCACAAAAGTCTCACTCCAAGCCTTTATGACAGGAAGCAGCAACCCATGGGGACTGTCCCTTCTGAAAGACCAAAACATATAAACACATTTGGTTCCCCATGGGGTCACACCTGACAGTGGGTCACTGACGAAAGTATTTCATAAAACTACAAAGGAGCTCAGGTACTATAAGCCTTTGCAATTCTGGAGAAAGTAAGGTGTTTGGGATTCATGGTCCACTGTGAAACTGTACCTTCTCAGAAAGCAACTAGACCCATCCAAGATGGGCAGAAAGTATCCAGCAATGGCCACCTCAGAGGCATTCATGAGATAGGGCTGGGCCTGCAGTTGACTTACTTGAATATTGGGCGAGTCTTATCAACTATCGAGGCCTCCATTTCTCCTATGGTAACACACAAACTGTGTAGCCTGGTCAATGAATCCTCAAGTAGACCCCAAAATAAAAGTGCCATCCTGGCATGACAGATGGCTCTTCAATTTCAGGAATGACTCTCTTTATACCCTTTTGAGTGATCCACTTACTAGCTGTCCACCAGAGAAGATGGCTACCTGAAAAGGTGGGAAACCCAAAACCAAGGGTTTCTGAAATGCTAAAGAAAATCATATTCTAATGTTACACCCAGAGTTCTTTCCTCTTGGAAAGTGAGGAAGACACAGGGATCCAGCAGCCTTCGAAGATGGCAGTCACTACTCCGGGGTCCTCTGGGAGAGGAGGCAACTCTGACAAATGTAGAAAGAGGAAGCAGCTGGAAGCCAGAAGGATTCACATAGTCACAGACTGTGTTTTCTTCCTGCTTCTCTGGCTTCTGGGAAGGCAGGAAACCCCTGTTCTCCAGAGGCAAGAAATTTCTTCTTAATTACCTTCCAGGAGGGGAGAGAGAGACTGCCAGCCCCTACCTGGGGCTGAGTCATTACATCTGCAACACTGCGCCAGGCAAGATGGAGAGGGAGGAGCTCACCACTCTCCAGTCTGACAGGAGTTGGCCCTTGGGGAGAACATGGCAACAGCCACAGATTACAAGGAAAGAACGAAGGGAAGCACCCAGGTACCTACAGGGTGGGCACTTGGGGATACAGTTTCAAATCATCCTCCAAGTTCCCCAGAGAGGCCATCCCACACCACAGCCCCAAGCCTGGTTCATGTCCTCCAACTCAAAAGACAGCACATCTTCCCTTGAACCTTGCCAAAATCCTTTTTGCAGTGACCTGTGTTGCATGGTGGGACTGCCCTGCAGTCTTGATTCTGGACATGCAACATGGGCCCTTAGCACTGCCAATGCCAATCCTGCCATGCAACACCAACAAGCACAGCTTGGAACAGCTTGGCTCAGGTTGGAGACTACTGTATGTTGTAAACTGCGGTGTCTTGCTGTACATACAAAGCTCTCTGCCATTATAGAAGCATAATGGTTTCCTTATGGAAAACACAGGCTTTTCATATTTCCCTACCCTTACTCTTGGGTGCATAAGTATCAAATTGGTGTATCTGTGGAGAGTATTTTGTCAGAATGTTTGATTTTAAAATTTTTGGATTCAGCTGCTAACTTTTCATTAAAATCATTAAATGAATTTTGGTTTGAGATTAGAATAGAATTTCCAACAATTCTGAAATGGCCCTAAACATACATCTGCCATTTTGTACTATGTGTTTATACAGAAAGGCATCCTCAGCATCAGTGACGAGCCAATCAAAATATCATTCGACTGAAAAATGTTGAAGATGCCCCATGTACTACAGCATCAATATTCAGCCAACATTTAATTCTTTATGCCAAAATAAATAAACCTATCTCATTGGTGTGCAAATTTGCTTTTGTCTTTAATGAATAGCAAAATTTTACGTATACTAAGGAATTGTTTTAGAATACATTTATGACTTACTATCAATAAGTGTTTGATTTGTATAACTATTTTATTTTCTACATTATCAAACTAGGAATATAATTTTTATTTTTAATTAAGATTTTAGGTTAACATACAAAGTAATGGGTTTAAATCATGGCATCTTCATATAACTATTTTATAAACCTATGTCCTCTGGTTCATGTAAAATTTTCTTGAGCAAAATGGGGTTTAGGGAAAGGATTTAGAATTCCTGTTCTAGGATACACAGCATACCAATGAGTCATGAGCAGCACTAGAGTGGGAAGACCCCTCGGGGGGTCTGGATACTACTACCTTAGTCATGACCCTACAATTATCTACAGACATTGAGAACCAGTCTCCTATCCTAGTGGGTATCAGTTTCATATCCTAGATAGACAGAGGAAAGCTTGCACTCTCCACCATGGCCTCACTTACCTCAGCATGGCAAAGATCACTTCTCTAATCATGGTCTTGCCAGAGAAAAGTAAGGGTACCAGGACTAGCCAGCAAACCCAAGGGAAAGCCACATGAAGGGGATCTCTTGTCTTTCAAAGTCAATTGTTTGTCTGCATGCAATATCCTACCCTCAGCTTTGAGGATTATCCAGCAAGATGCAATTCTACTGGAAGGTCTCTCCCTAACTCTCAGATCCTACCTACCAGAATGTTTTCTAGGAAGAAATGTGTTAAAAGGTATTATTGCTGTTAACAACACAATATTATTCCAAAGATAAATACGCATGTTTTGGATGTGTTTCTATCTACTGGTACCTATAGCAGGAGACAGTCTACATTCCCCCATGAGTTAGACAAGTATCCCTGGACCCTGTGACACTCCTGGATAGGTTGGGGTCACCACCACCCAGCAGGAATTTTCTTCTGGTGGTCATTTAAAGGGGTGGTCATTTAATGGTGATGGTCATTTAAAGGGGAGGAACATGAAATTAGTGTAGGAGGACAGAAAATGATTGCGTGAGATAGGTGAGATGTAAGGAGAAATGCTTCCTCCTTTTCCTTTAAATCTGATGCGGGACTTTTCAGGAAATTAAACACCGAGGCTATTAGTATCAGATAGAAAACAGATGAGGTTAAGACATCGAAATACTACAGCAGATTCCCCAGGCAGGCAGAGAGGGGACATGTGTAAGCAATCACACCAGTATTTCTGGAGAAGACCTTTTATGTTTTTAATACTTAACACTTCATAACAGGGACTAATAGGCAGGATAAAAAGAAGGCTGCTCAAAAGGCAACTTGGGGGATGAATGGTTTTCCAGACAACAGAGTTGGGGGGAGGGAACTTCTTGAGATTCAATTCCTCATCCTTCTCTCTCTCCCACCATAGTCTGTGCAATAGAGCTGCCAGAGGCTGGGTGGGAAGCTGGCATGAGAGGCTGGTGAACAGGTCCTTACCAAAGGTTCTGGAGGTACCGTTTATTTATTATGCTTGGATGAACCCATGGCCCCAGAGTACCAACCAACAGAGTAAACAGATCTGCATGAAGGGCTTGACAAAGCATTGTACGGCCAGAAGCCACAACTGCCATAGCAGGCATCCTTCTAAAGGTGCCATTGTCTCTCTCCAAACCATAACCTCTAGTTCCTAGCTTCCTGTAATATGCACCCTGATGTAGCTTCCTTCTCCTTCAGCTTCTCCTCCTGTAACACTGGACTGGCTTTACTTACCCGCAAGACAAGAAAAACAATGTAAACATGACCCCTAAATGGATATCTATGGACAACCATACTTTTTTGGCAGGGACACTGGATTTCAGAAGCAAAAGTTGTTCTAAGTATCTACTGTGTACTAGAACAGTGTGACCTTGGACAAGGTGTTCAATCTCTGCCTCAGTTTCCACATCTGTACATTTAGGAAGTTGGACTATCAAGATTTCTCAGGTGATGCTCTCTTGTCTTTCAAAGGTGGAGTGAAGGTTTTGTGGGGGACATACATAATCATGGGGGTGTTCCGACATGGTCCTTGTGTTTCTAAATGTCTCAGGATGAGTGGTTAAGGAAAAACTCAAAAATATTTATGTAAATAGAACACTTGTGACACTTGTTCGATACCCATCCATATTTTTACAAGCCCAAGGCACTCAACACAGCACAAATGAGGCTTACCTTTCTGTCATTCATGTCATCCCCTGGACTATCGTATTCACCCTGTAGGAGAAAAAGAGATGCATGATAAACTCAATAGAATCATCAAAAACAGATGTGAAATGAGAAAGGAGTTTCTTTTTCAATTTTCTAATGTCATCCTTTTCTTTCATTTCTATTTAAGGAAAATCAGAACCATGGCATGGTCAGGGCCAATATTCCACTTTCTCGGTCATCAACGCAGTGTTTAACTGGGATAGCTTCTCACACAGAGATGTTCATTCTCCTATGCTTTACAGACAAGCTCGGACTAAAGATGTTCCCTCTCCTACGCTTTACAGATGAGCTCGGGCTACTCTTTGCCAATGCAGCAGCAGGCTGTAAATGAGTTAGCACATGAAATGAAAATTACCCCATATCATGACATGTTTATCCCTTGTCTACAAGTGGAAGAAGTTGTATCTGCCACAACAAAGATGTCAGGACTGGGAAGGGACCCATCGGAGAAATTCCTGTTGGTCAGACTCACGTGGTAGTACTATGTGAGAGATGCTAGAGACATGGTCCATCAGACACACAGTGATGCCAAAGAGACATTTAGTTTAAGTTTTACTTAAGTTATTCACAAGTTGTCATGAAAGAGTTATTGCATTGCATCATGGGTAGACCACCACTCCCAGACAAGTAGTGTGCCCAGGCTGTGCATTACTGAGGCCTCTGAGAATCGTTCCATGGGCATTCACCTGCCTCCCTTGGCATCCCCACCACACACGCACCTTTAATCACCCACATGCTACGTCTGCATTTTTTCACCTTCACCAAAAGCAATGGCAAGGTCATTCCCATCAGGGAAAGGGCAGACAGGAACCAATGCCTTTTGTCATGTGCAGAAATCATTAGATAGACAGTCTGAGATTTTGAGAAAAAAACCAAACCAATCACTATCTTCAGCAATGAGTGGGCAAAGTTGGCCAAGGTATTCCAACGTCAAGATTCACTCCTGCTTTATCACATATACATTCACCCACTCCAATGCCTGTAGTTTCAACTTCTGGAAGATTAGAGAGAACATATTAATAAAGTTAGTACTTACAGCCAGCCATGGCACACACCTGCAATCCCAGAACTCAGAAACTAAGTCAGGAGGATATAAGTTTGAGGCTAGCCTGGATCACATGGTGAGACCCTGTCTCCAAAAGGGAAAGAAAAGAGGAAGAGAGGGAGGGAAGAAGAGATGGAGGGAAGGAGGGAGGGAAGGAGGGGGGAAGGAAGGGAGGGAGGGGAGAAAGGAAAG